GTCCTGGAGAGTTTGATGGAGGCGGCGGCGGGGGAGGGCGGCCATCGGGGCAGTAGAGCCTATGCGACTGAGGCGTTGTGGCTCTTTGAAAGGGGCGGCTGGAAGGAAAAGTTCAAGGGCCGCTGATGCTGTGAATCTGAGGAAGACGGGACGAGGATTGGCCGTAGTGAAGGCGACTTGCTGGGTGGAATGGAAGGGATCTCTGGCTGCATAATGAATGCGTATACGTCTCAATGAATAAATGCGCCTTCGATCCGAAATGTCTACATGATGAATGTCTAGATGATATCTGGCGGCCCAATTGCACTCAAGTTGTGACATGTACAACTAGCTAGGTACTACCTACCTATGAACCCTGGAGCGCGGCCGACATACAGTGGCCACCCCGACCCCCCTAAAGAATCTCAGAACCTCCTCACTCTCCGTCGCGTCGCTTCAATACACCTTCATTAACGTACGTCAATAATCAATCAGTCTTTCAAAGCGATGTAGTATTTGAGTGCGTTTGACCAGCATGCAGAATGGCCTCGCTACGTCGGGGTGAAGCCATTGCGTGTGACTGTCCAGAATGGGCCCAATGTGGCGTGGCTGTACAGTGGCCGTATATGCCCCTCATAAGGCCCCCTCAGCGCTCACAGGGTCTTGCAGCGGCGTCGCGGGGTCTCCAGGACCGCTGCACCCGCCACACGACGACCCCACAGCGATCGGACGGCTTTGGTGCAAGAAAAACCACGAGCCGAAGCGTCGACGTGAAAAGCATCTGCCCGCCCTTCTCCCGCTTTGCCCTCCTTCTTCTCTCCCATCCCCAGCCCGACAGCACAACGGCATCGCCGCCGACGCCGCCGATTTCCGCCCTCCTGGGTGCTTGCCCATTCTGTCTGTACTCTCGTCTCCCTGTTCATCTGTACGTCTGCTCATCGCATTTCTCTTCTTCACCTCCGTGTTGCATCTGCCTGTCTGGCCATCGACACGGCCGCCATTTTCACACGGGTCGCTCTCTGTTTCAGAAGAAACTGCCCCTCGACCGGCTCATTGCTGTCGTTGCCGTCGCCCCTTCATCAGGACCTGCAAAGATCATTCAGAGCAAGTCTGCTTTGAATTGGTCCTTGCATCCTCCGTTTCGCCGCCCTCCGGACCTGAAGCTCACTTCTGGTTCTGGTTCTGGTTGCTGTCGACGTCGTGCCCCGCTCTGCATACGAACCGGAACAAAGAAGCGACAAAAAAAACCAGTGAGGTCGTCAACTCATTGTTCTCTTAGGTCTGTTCGAGAAGTAAATTGCCGCATACGCGAGTAACTACAACTCAGCCGCTTTCCCATCGCCGCGATATATAAACGCGGAAAACCGACAAGAAAGATAATCAGGGCACAACAGCAAGACCTTTGCATTTATTTGCACGAGCATACAACGATAGTATACTCAGCTCACAGGCATCCCGGGTTGACTGCAAAATCCCCCCCTCCCTCCCCAAAAAAAAGAGTTGAGACCCTGTGACTTTGACTAGCCATGGCGTCTCCTTTGCAGTTTGCGTATCGAACGCAGAAGACCATTGGCATCTTTGATGCCGCCCCGGCTTACCAACCCCTCGCTGGTTTTGCGAAACCCGAGGGAAACTTACGCTGCAGCGCTTACTCGCCCTGTGGCCGCTTTTTCGGCTGGGCGACCCCCGAGTTCGTCACCGTTGTCGACACTTCTGCCGGCAGCGTCGTCCTGGTGCTACCCCTCATCAATGTCTACGAGCTCGGTTTCTCGCCGTGTGGCACCTTTGTCATCACGTGGGAACGGCCTGGAAAGGATGAGGCCGGGGATGCCACCAAAAATCTTAAAGTCTGGCGCACTGTGGAAGAGGGCGTCGCTGGCGGCGACAAGCAGCCCATCGGCCGATATGTACAAAAGCAACAGGGTGGCTGGAACCTCCAATACACTGCTGACGAAAAGTACTGCGCACGACTGGTCACCAACGAGGTTCAGTTTTTTGAGAGCCACGACCTTGTTACTGTCTGGAACAAGTTGAGGGTCGAGGGCGCGGCCAGCTTTGCACTGGCGCCTGGAAGCCAGAATCATGCTGTGGCTGTGTTTATCCCAGAGAAAAAGGTAAGCCAGATCAACGTCGTTCTTTTTCCTCAGACTGCAACACCTTTTGGACCCCGTGCATCACCACGCAACACACAAATTTTGAGGTTGAGTTACGATCTACTGTTTACTGACAGGAACCTCCTTCGGACTACAGGGTCAACCAGCAGCTGTCAAGGTGTTCAACGTCCCCTTGTTTCAGAATCCCATTTCGCAAAAGACCTTTTTCAAGGGCGACAAGGTTCAATTCAAGTGGAACAAGCGCGGGTCTTCCCTGCTTGTCCTTGCGCAGACGGACGTTGACAGATCTGGGAAAAGCTACTACGGTGAGACTACACTGTATCTTCTCAGCACCAATGGGGCATTCGATGCGCGCGTGACTCTTGACAAGGAGGGCCCCATCCACGACGTATCGTGGTCGCCCAACTCGCGAGAGTTCGGAGTGGTGTACGGCTACATGCCAGCCAAGGCCACAATTTTCAATGATCGGGCTATCGCGAAGCACTCGTTCCCTCTTGGGCCACGCAATACCATCACGTTTGCGCCCAGCGCCCGCTTTGTTCTCGTTGCCGGCTTTGGTAACTTGGCCGGCCAGATTGACATTTTCGACCTCGAGAAGGACTACCGCAAAGTTTGCACCATTGAAAGCGGCAATCCCAGTGTGTGCGAGTGGAGCCCTGACAGCCGATACCTTTTGACGGCGACAACATCCCCTCGTCTCCGAGTCGACAACGGAGTGAAACTGTGGCATGTTGGTGGTAGCATCATGTACAACGAAGATATGGTGGAGTTGTACAACGTTGTGTGGCGTCCCGCGGCCCCTGAGAACGTGGCTGGCGGAGATCCGCTCAATCCTGTGCCCACGCCTCATGCGTCGGCCACGACGTACCTGGGCACGGTGAAGACACCGAGCAAACCCGCCGGGGCCTACCGCCCGCCTGGGGCTCGTGGTCTCGCCACGCCGCTCCACTTCAAGCGTGAGGACGAAGGTGGTGCTGCTCATGTGGTGAGTAACGGTACACAGAATGTCGGGCCCAATGGCTTTGGCCGCCCCCGCCGCGGCGTGCCTGGGGCCGAGCCGGCCGAGCCGTCTGCTGGACCCAGAAGCGTGCCTGGGGCCGAACCGGTCGGAGAAGATGGCAACAAGAAGACCAAGAAGAAGCGAGGAAAGAAGAACAACAACCAGGATGCTCGTCTCGAGGCCGAGCCCAATGGCGGTGCGATCCTTACTCCGTACGATAACAGCAGCGGCAACGGCAATAGCACCACCGGACGAAGCCCTGAAAGACGAGGCCCTGCTAATGGCAATGGACGTGATCATCGGAGCAGATCGCAACACAACACAGGCAGCCGCAGCCGCAGCAACACTCAACATGGTCGGCGCTCGAACGGAAATGCCAACCAGAGTAATGGTGCTGCTCAGCCGACCGTTGTAGCCGTCCCTGCTCCTGTCGTGGATGCCGCCCAGGTGGCCGCTCTGACCGCCGCTCAGATCGCCAACGCCAAGAAGGTTCGCAGCCTTCAGAAAAAGATTCGCGCCATTGAGGATCTGGAGATGCGACTCGCTGGTGGCGAAAAGCTCGAGGACACACAGATCAAGAAGATGAGCACCAAGAATGCCGTGCTGAGGGAGCTCGCAACTTTGGAAAAGGACAGCTAGATTTCTGTTTCTCTTTTGAAATCAGGAACTTTTGCTTGTCGGCAGCGTCATTTCAGTTTGCATTGCACACGAGAGTTGCGAATCTACCCGTCGGGCCAGATGATGGCGTTATATTCAGCCGATAAGACGAGGGAAATAATCAGAAGGATTTCATCGTGGAAGAGGGAGATTATTTACGGGTGACTGGGAAGCGAACCCGTCTGTATGACATGGAAGCCTTGAATGGATGGGTCCCGATTCACGATAGGTACGCGCGTGTGCTCGCATAATGTTTGTGCTGCGGGCAGTTGTTAGAAAGGACCTCTTTTGGAATAAAAATGCGGAGCGTTATGTCTCGCGGCTGGCTTTTTTACTGACTGCCTAAGGACCCGAGGATGAATACGTCGCTGCGTGTCTAGGTGTCTGGGCGTTTGGTGATTCTTGAAAGGCTGTGTGTGTATTCATTTCGAGTTGACTCACAAACACGCAGACGGGGGACAGGGTGTGTCTTGAAAACGGGATCGGGACGGGGCCTCAGGAAAAAGATGGAACGCGGGGCAGAGAGGAGGGAGAGGAAGGCAAGGGAAGTGAACAGAAGTGCATGGAAAAAGACGATGCAAAAAGTTGAACATACATAGTTGTTTACTATTCTGCAAATGGCAAAATTATGTAAGACATGTCTTGGGAGATAACACTTGACCCTTAAACACGGTACGTCGCGATGACTTGTCATCAACAACGCTTCTTATGTAATTTTTTGTTGTGGGAGGGACCCACGAGACGTCCTGAGAGTCAGTTTCGCAAGGAAGCCATCCACGAGAACTTGGTGGGTTCTACTCCGTAGGCCCTGGGAACGCTCTGGAGGATAGAGGACTCAGAACTTAGAAGCCTCGGGAGACTGGGCAGTTCACTAAATAGGGGTGAGAATATGGAGTAGTCGGATGGGAGGTGCAATGCCATGCTGTGGATCCATGGGCTTCTTGTACTCATGGCGTCATGGAGTCATGATAGTTCTTTATTCTCGCGATTGCCGGTCGGACAAAAGTTTCGGATTACGTTGAGATATACAATCACCAGATTTGTGCTATGATCACGATTGCGATTGAGACCGCTGGGCGACTTGCTTTGTTTACTGAGCGTTCTGATTAGTTATTCGATGATCTTAATGCCCCACCCAGTCAGCTTGAAATCGTCGCTGCATCCAAGATTCCGAGGAAGACGACCCTGTGAGAAATAAGATATAGAAGCCATTAGTGGCTGGACTCGGTATAACGCATCGAGGATTCGGTGCCCGGTTAGCTCAATCGGTAGAGCGTGAGACTCTTACGTGTGCTCGAAATCTCAAGGTTGCGGGTTCGACCCCCGCATCGGGCTTTTCCTATAATTTACGAGTAGCTCTTCATATTTTTGCGACCCTTCGCTCCTGGACTTTTTTGCCTTTAGCACGAATGTGATTCTTTTTCTTCTTTTGTGGTAATTGGTGAATCTGTTTTATGCGATTTACATCCCAAAGCGATTGAACGACCCATCTATCCTCATGTAGAGTAGATATCTCGCGTCACGTTCACTCACGTATACACTAACGCATAAATTCATTGAAATGCGCTGTCAAGTCTAGATAGAAACCTTTCTATTGTATCTCTACACAACCTTCCATTCTATTCATGTAAAGCCCTCTATTCCATTCACACACACTTTCCATCGCACTCATACATGATCTTCCCTCGTCAACATTATTGCCGTGGCCGGGCATCGGACCAAATGAAAGCCAGTGAACAACCCTATTCCGAGAAAACGAACGCCACATACCTAAACAAAACGCCAGCTAAATATCTATACCCATGGAAACCTCATGAGCCGGTCATGACTTTTCTCCACCCAACACTCCTCCATCAACCGCGTCGATCTCCATCGCAGCAGCACGAGCCCGCCGCGCTCTCCCCTCCATCCTGGCCAGCCCATCGGCCCTCTTGGCATCGAGGTGCTCCTGATGCTTCTGAAGCTGCCGAATAGTCTTGCTTCTAGCACGAATGCGACCGCCATACCGCCAGAACACAAACGGAATCGGAATGAGGGCCACCTCGAGCAGACCGAGCACCGTCCCCGCCCACTGCGGCGAGAGCGCAGAATACATCTTGGGCCCCGCAAGCGGCAGTGTACCACCAAAGATGCTCCGGATGACGGCGTTGCCGGCGAGGGCACTCGCGGCGTAGATGCCATAGGCTCCGGCGAGGTAATTGGAACCGTATATGAAGCCGATGGTGTTACCGCAGCCAAAAGGGATGCCAAACGCGATGGGCACGGCCCAGTGGATCGTTGATGGGAGACAGGTCCATGCGAAGCCAAGCTGACCGATGGCGGTGGAGATGGCGCCGATGGCCATGATGGAGGCCTGCGCCTCGGGATATGGCTTGCCTGTGGTGGGATCCATGGGCTGCGCGTGGATAATGCGCCGGAAGAGTGGCTCAGCTACGATGCCGATGAGGATGCCGATGCCGATGCCGACGAAGGAGAGGCTGGAGGCGCCGGGGGCCCAGCCACGGTGTTGGGAAAAGACGACGGGGTATGCTATGAAGCAGAGGTAGAGGATGCCATAAACAACGGAGATCCTAGAGAGAGAGGGTAAGTAATTGGCAAGTGACGAATTTCCTTGCTCGTGGCTTCCACGCACATACATGTACATATGTGTATGATTGGACCACCAAGCCTACAGACAGAATCTTACCAGAAATTCATAAACCACAAGATAGGCTCCGTTACGAAGAGCACAAATGGCCGGCTAAGGTTCACCTTGAGCAAGCGCGCCGTAGACAACTTGTGGTCATAACGACACCAGTACCGGGCATCATCCGCCTGCTTCCTCATCCGCGCAGCCTTGCGCTGCAGAATCTTGGGCGCATACGTCTCCCGGACGGTCAGCATGAGAGCAACGGCGAGCCCGGCTATGATGAGGACGATCCAGTTGGTCCACCGCCAGCCGAGGCACTGGAAGACGAAGCCGCCGATGATGGGGCCCGTGACGGGTCCGTTGAGAGGGGCCAAAGCAAAGAGAGACAGACTCCTGGCGAGGTAGTCTGGGTTAGAGACGTCGACGACGGTCCCAGGCGCATTGGAGATCATGACGGCGCCGAAGAATGCGCTGTTATATTGTTAGTGTCTTGGTGAGAGCAAGGGGTGGAAAATAATAAAACTTTGGAAGAAGAAGAGACTGTGACAGATACACGACATCATAAGAAGGTGACAGACTACAGTATACGGAGAGTGAAAAGAGAACAAAAGCACGACTACACCAACCCGATAAATCGAACAACGATGATGGTCGTCAGGGACTTCGCGAGTCCGCAAGGCACGATGAGGACGGCCCACAACAGCAAACACACCATGTACACCTTCTGACGACCATAGACCTCACTCAGCGGCGCAACCACCAAGCTCCCGGCCGCCAGACCCAGTAGATACGTCGTCATGCCTAGCGTGACAAGCGTCTTGGACGCGCCAAACTCTGCCATGAGACCAGACATTGACGACGTATAGCTCGTGCTATACAATGTGGCAGCCCATGTCGCGAAGGAGACGCAAAAGACGACCCAGCATCGGTACCACAGCGCCCAGTTCAAGGGATTCTCCGGGTCGTTGTCCGAAAAGTCCACCTCGAACTCGGGCTGTCGCGAGGCGATGCTACCGATGCTTGTGCCTGTGCGAATATAGGTAATGGGCTCACGAGCCGTGAGCTCGGTGTCGGTTTCGACATTGGACGTGAGACAGTGTGAGGCGACTGTTCTGATGGGCTCGAGATGCGGTCCTTTGATGCTGGCGCCGGTGCTGGTGGAGGACGGAAATGACGATAATGATGATGACGACGGTGGCGGTCGGACGACATGAGTGTTAGACTCGTCATGCGAAGCCTTTTCGGGACCCTGTGTCATTTCCTGCGTCGTGTTTCGATGTTGCGCTTGCTTAGCCCGTTCTGATAGCACACAAGCCGATAAATCTCGCACATTTCAGTAGTTAAAGAAAAATCTGCACAAAGAAGGCGCCTCGGCTGAGCCCGGCCCACGGCCACGTTTCATGCCATACTTATAGAGTCTTATAGAGTATGTATGTACTCCGAAATCCGGTGACATACCTACCTAGGTGTGTGTGTAGTACTCCGTGTGAGGCCGATGACGGGAAGATGAGCGAAAGGAGTAATTAGGAGTGAGTCGGGAGGGGCCAAACAGGGGCGCGGGGGCTAGAACTAATTTCGGGTAACTATGTAGAAACAATTTCAATTTTATTAAGTTATTATTATTATTATTATTATTATTATTTAGGTACACTAGCTAGGCTGGCCTGAGCTTGCCCAGTTCTAGGACCTCTACATGATGACTCATAGAGGAAAAACCCTAGGACAGGGAGGAAAACCTCTATGCTATCGTGGGGCTATGCATCGGGCCGATTTGGTCCGACCGCGGTTCCTATTATATACTTCAAGTTTTTCTGCTCGCCGGTTGTTGGAATAAATCCGTCAGGCTCGTGTATACGCATTTGTTTGGGGGCTGACATGAACAATCTGTTGTATTCATGGAAGCTTGCTAGAAAAGAGAGAAAGGAAAAAGTGGGCAGCTATACCTCGTGGTGTTATACCACGAGGTGTGTTGGCTTCGTACGTGCTCGTTGGGGACACGTATATGCAATGCCCACGTACAGCGGCCCCCCGCACGTACAGTGCCGTTGAGGGCAGCGATTCCAACACCGGTGATCGTCGCGGCAGTCGCTGGTAGGTGCGCTGGGAAAGAAAAGAAAACCCCTCCTCCCCATGATACGTGCCTCATCAGTCCTGGGCAGGGTCCGCAGCGGCTTCTTCTTCCCACCTCTCTTTCAACTCGGTCGCG